AAAATATTGTGCCGGCACATTATCACCCATCCTTACACATTTGATTAATCTGTCATTTACTGAGGGGGCATTTCCTGAGCAACTTAAAGTATCCATAGTCAGACCACTACACAAAAAGAACTCCAAACACGAACTAAAAAACTATCGCCCAATAACCCTCATAAATATTATATCCAAAATATTTGAAAAAGCCATGCACAAACGTCTTACAGGATTTCTTGACAAAAATAATATTATAACGGAAGAACAAAATGGTTTTCAAAGAAAAAAGTCAACTACCTTAGCAGCCTTTAATTTAATCAAAAACATAACGCAGACTATCGATAAACGTATTCCTGTCTCAGTTATATTCTTTGACATGACCCGTGCTTTTGATTTCGTGAACCATGACATTCTAATAGATAAGTGTGAATTGTATGGTATTAGAGGACCTGCACTGGACTGGCTTAAAAGCTACTTGAAAGGGCGGAAACAATGTGTAGAAATTAAAAGAATAGATAAAGACTTCAAGTTAAGTGCATTTAGATCAGAATTTCAACATAATAAAACTGGGGTACCTCAAGGCAGCATTCTGGGACCTTTACTCTTTTTACTATTTATAAATGACCTGCCTAAAGCTACCAATCATCAATGCGTAATGTTTGCTGATGATATATCGCTTGTTGTGACACATAATTCAAATGCAATCACTCGAGAGGCTCGGTTGAAGATTGCGGTGGAATGTATATTAAATTGGCTAGATAATAATAAATTATGCGTCAATCTCTCCAAAACGAAATTCATGAATTTTTCAAACTATAATTCAAAAGCAAGCCAGAGTGTTACAAGTTTAACATGTCGGGGGCATAATATTGAACTAGTTAATGAAATGAAGTTTCTCGGCATTGTTTTGGACAACCATTGCAACTGGAAGGCACATATTAGCTATATATGCAAAAAAATTAACAAATTTGTATTTGCGTTAAAAAAGTTAAAACTGACTTCATCACAGAAAACTGCATTGTTAGCGTATCATGGCTTTATTGCCTCTTCTTTAAGGTATGGACTTCTTTTGTGGGGAAATTCACCCGATATTAAACGAGCATTCATAACCCAAAAAAAATGCATTAGAGCAATATGTGGAGTTGGGCCCCTGGTATCATGTAGACCATTGTTTAAAAAACTTAGATTACTAACTTTAACTGGACTATACATCCTTCAAGCTGGTATATTTGTTAAAGAACAACGTAGGCATTTCCCACAAATGTTCAATAAATTAAACTCAGTTGTAAAAAAAAGGGACCCCACTCTTTTGCTGATGCCACCATGTAAGACAGCCTATTGTCAAAAGAACTGCTCGATAATGCCCGTAAAAATATTTAATAAAATTCCGAAATGTATCAGAGAGCTTCCTTTGAATTTGTTTAAAACTAAACTATATAGGTGGCTAATAGAACACAGTTTTTACAACTTGAATGACTTCTTAAGGTGACATTGAAATCTTTTACTACAATTTTGACGTTTGATACAAAAACAGAGACATTAATTGTAATAATTGTAAACTTGACTTTCTTATACCTTGACTACTGTGTTAATTAATAATTTTTTGTACTGACATATTATTTTGTATTTTTGGTGATTTGGTAATCAATTGTATAATTATTCTGCACATGTAATTGACGTTTCATTGGTATACATACAATGAACCCTGAAAATGATAAATTTTGCATGCCATCTGTATTATGGCGAAGTGTGAAGTTTCACTGTTTAGCTCTAAGATCTTTCTGTACCATGCTTCCTGCAAATAAATGAATTCTATTCTATTCTATTCTATTCTAATAATCTATGTGTACCTACTGTTTTTATCGACTAGTGACACAATTAATTCACTGGAAAGCCGTGACGTCGTAACTTGACTAAGCAAAAATAGGCATCAACGAAAGCCGGATAGTAAATATTTTTCGGTTTTTCCGACACTACCGTAACATCCTGGAAACCAGACAGGTAATTGATACAGTTAGGTAAACATTTATATTAATCCTTTTTCCACAAATAGATATCAAGTAACGGTATAACTTTTATATTAATATGTGAAAAAAAAACATAAATTTTTTTTTGCATTATTTAAAGATGTGTAATATATCTGTTAAAGAGTAAGAAAGAAAATATGTGACTGTTAGACACAAAACTCAATAATTGCAAATTTGTAACGCCACCGTAGTTGGTTATTGTAGAGTTAATTAGATAAATAAAGATTTTTATTATTATTTACTTATAGTATTCCTTTAATACAATAATGTATAGATAATTAAAACAACAAAAAATCATGTAGATAATTTTAATGTCATTATTTATTAACGCGAAATTTTATATTTGAATACATACAATATTTTGTCAAAAATATTTTTACGATATTATACAAAGGTTGACTGGTAGAGAATGCCATATAGCATTAAGTCCGCCTTTTGTACTTACTTCATTCCATTGTGTATAATGTACAAAAAAAGCATAAATAAACAAATAAATAAATGTTGTTGCATAATATAAGTATATATTTTTAACTAGTCACATCAATAAACGAAATATGCTTGTTTATTGTTTCTTGTTCCCTATCAAACATTGAAGGACCATCAAATACTTAAAAAGCTTGTAAAAATGAGGTTCAATATCTGTTCACAGTGTGACTACTTACAACCATTCATTTAAACAGTCCGACAATATATCAGTACTTGTTTCAGGGTCCATGAAAATAACGAGTTCGGGCTATTGTCATACATGTATGTACGTGATTCAGTATACTATTATATCTTGGTTGAATTTATGCGATATACAAATTTATATATGTATAACGTACGTTATACAAATTTATAAAAATGTATATATGTATTGCGTACCTTATACGAATGTAGATGCATATATACGTCCGAAATTGATACGCTCGTAATTCTTAAAATTAGGAACAAAATGTTTTTTTATTTATTTTTATATTCAATGAAGCCACGAAACAAGGCATACTTACATAAAATAAAAGAATGATAAATTCATCATAAATGTCAGAAAGTACCTTAAGCATCCGAGTAAAACCAGGATGATTTGCTTGTACACGATAAAAGCTTTAAGTAAGATAGCTTTGTCCGATTGAAGCTATTTGTCATTTTTATCTAGATAATGTAAACAAGTATAATCGGTGCTAGCCATTCAGACCCGAAATTGTTATTAAAGCATATCATGACATATTGAGAGATAATTTTATCAAAGTGTTGATATATTGCCTCACAACTGCTAACAATCCCATTAACTGGGTGTTGACCACGCCAAAATTATTAAGTTATAACAAACTTACATGTTGTTGTTGTTGTTGTTCGATTAACAGGTTTCTGAATGTTCGTCGTATGAATTTCCTTTTCGGGGTTAATACTAAAGAGGTTTTAATTCCTAGAAAGGATATGTTTGTATTTTAAGGGCCTATTTTACAATGTCTGTATAACCGCCGAGTATCTAATAAATTTGAATATAGAACGTTATTTATATAAACTACGTACCACAAAGGTTTATCACGAAATTAAATAATGTTTTTTTTTTGTAAATAAGCTTTCAAACAGAATCATTACGCGTCATTACAATATAAAAAATAGATGAGGCTGGCATGTCCTATTTGATTTTAATAAAATGATTGTAAAACTGGCGCCACCTTTGGTCAGTTATTGTAATTATCATCATCATCACCTGGACTTCGGGCCGCCTCTTTATGTAATTCCTACACTTGGTGGGCTGGTAGAAAATAGCTCTTACATAAGACAACGCTTATGTTATATTAGTAGTCCTGAAACAATAAATCTATTATAACATACTGCTTAAACTTAAACCTGCTGTTTATAATTTCAAAAAGATAATGTCTTGAAAAATTATACATAATAAAATCATACATACTTAATGTATACCTAATTCGTGAATCTAACATACTAAGTTCAAGCTCAGCAAATTTTCCACTCTTGGGCTTTTCCCACCTTCTCACGAGAGGACGGTCAGAATGAATCAATAAACTTGGTGAAAGCAGTTTGGCAACTTCAAAACTAATAATTATATTCAAAAATTGGTTGGCTTGGTACGTCAGTGATATATAACTAGGGTACATAAAACTCAGAAATATACCAGATCACTTTGGTATACATATAACGGTTATCAAACTAGTATCTTCCTTCATGCTATCACGGGTTTAATTTTAAATAAGAAAAAATATGCACAGTTCTATTTGCCCAAAATACGTTTGCCCCCTGACTGAATACCTAAATTATATCTACCTCTCATAAGTTATGCTGTATAATAAGGATCAGTTTCGTCCAGCGTCCAGAGTAAAAGCAACCTCACATGATGCATTAATTGAAATAATAAATGCTAGCGGAACTACCGTATTCTAATAAATAGATTTTTGTTTGGTATGAAAATTCGATAGTTGTAAACATACTTAAAAAGTTCCTTTTTAATTAATTAATATGATTATTTTCCTGTTTTGCACGAAATCGTGGGCAAAAAATATAATTAACAAGTTCCTTCAAATTTACGTATAATTTTAAATAATAAGTATACAATTTTATGTTATCATAATTAGAAAGCAGTTCATACATAAATCATCAATTCAATCAATATCCTAACTTATTTTACACAATTTTCCAATATTATGAAACTATTTTTCATCCAATTGTGTTTTTCCACATGTTTTCCCAAAAACCTTATTCTATACAAGCCTTGATTTTAATGAATGTCGTTAATCCCGTAAAATTAACTAAACTACATTATATAAATCAAACCTAACAAAAAAACTCAAAAATCTACTAAACTAACATTTCGTAGTTCCGTAGCAATTTCGTAGCGACGTAGCGCGTAGCAGCGTAGCTCTCTACGGCACCTACGCAAGTGAATCACGCGGCGTAGCTTAGCACCGCATCACTATATAAACCGCGTCGACACCTCGCACCGTTCATTTGCTTTCAAATACCATCGAGGGAGACCACGGAAGCAGTAGCTACATACAGCCTCACGTAGTAACTTGTAAAAGTGATCCGTACTTTACTTCACGTAAACGAAAATCAGTTAACTGCTGAATTTATTTCAACGTGCAGATTTGTAAAGGTAAGTTTTAATCACCATTTTTTTGTTTTTCATCAATCGTTTCTTACATATATTTTCGTTGATTATTATTTTTGTTCTGTCTGTTTTTCGAGGTCTCAGTTAAAATTAGTGGAGTAAAGACAAACTATTATTAAAAGTTATATAAAAAAGGTTACAAATTTGTAAAATAAATTTAAAAAATGAACGAACTAAATATATCTTTTGCCGTTATCACAAAAAAATATCATTGAAAAACAAAAAAAAACGATACTTTTAAGCGCAAAATACCCGGTTAAATTGTCAATTTCTCCTGATTATTTTAATAGCAATAGCAAAGATATTTCATTAACTAGCCTACTTAATATAAACAATAAGAAAACTTTATTAATAACAAGTTACAGCAGCTCCGAAGAACTTCACTTTACAGCACTTTCAGATGCACATAAAATACTTCAGAAACTTGCGTCGGTTGATGAAAGCATAATTACTAATAATTTTCATGTATCTAATATACCTAATATTTTTTAATGTTAGTGTTTGACATGACACTTAATAAATTTTAATTTAATGAAAATTATGTTAATTAAGAATGAACTTCTTTATAAAAATGGTATATGTGGTTATATGATCCCTTACGAGCATTAAAGTAATAACGTAATTCAATAGTTTATAAAAATTGTAATCACTTTTCTTATCAATTCAATGCTCATATAAATATTTAACAAGATCCGTATTAACAAAAGGATAAAACGTCCGTAGTTCCTACTATTCTTGTATCTTTACTAAAATCTGACAAAACAAGTAAAGGCAATTTTCCGAATCCGAGAACCAAATCCAAAGCTTCGTTCTAAACAAACAATTGAGACAGCCGTATCTCAGTACTCATTAAGAATTTCTAAGCACGTACAAGTCTATTGTAGCGTTATTGGTACAATTCGATTTGTATAATTTGTGTCATCTAATTTTATTAAAAGTTATATAAAAAAGGTTACAAATTTGTAAAATAAATTTAAAAAATGAACGAACTAAATATATCTTTTGCCGTTATCACAAAAAAATATCATTGAAAAACAAAAAAAAACGATACTTTTAAGCGCAAAATACCCGGTTAAATTGTCAATTTCTCCTGATTATTTTAATAGCAATAGCAAAGATATTTCATTAACTAGCCTACTTAATATAAACAATAAGAAAACTTTATTAATAACAAGTTACAGCAGCTCCGAAGAACTTCACTTTACAGCACTTTCAGATGCACATAAAATACTTCAGAAACTTGCGTCGGTTGATGAAAGCATAATTACTAATAATTTTCATGTATCTAATATACCTAATATTTTTTAATGTTAGTGTTTGACATGACACTTAATAAATTTTAATTTAATGAAAATTATGTTAATTAAGAATGAACTTCTTTATAAAAATGGTATATGTGGTTATATGATCCCTTACGAGCATTAAAGTAATAACGTAATTCAATAGTTTATAAAAATTGTAATCACTTTTCTTATCAATTCAATGCTCATATAAATATTTAACAAGATCCGTATTAACAAAAGGATAAAACGTCCGTAGTTCCTACTATTCTTGTATCTTTACTAAAATCTGACAAAACAAGTAAAGGCAATTTTCCGAATCCGAGAACCAAATCCAAAGCTTCGTTCTAAACAAACAATTGAGACAGCCGTATCTCAGTACTCATTAAGAATTTCTAAGCACGTACAAGTCTATTGTAGCGTTATTGGTACAATTCGATTTGTATAATTTGTGTCATCTAATTAGTACGTTTCAAACATTTCCTAATTATCATTAATATTCTTATATTCTGATTAGTTTTTTGATTAGAAAACATATCGTAATTTCTCCGAAGAAACCGTAATTTCTTTAATGATTGAGAAATCGCATTTTTTAAGGATATGAAAAAGAATAAAACGTCTCTGAAAAATTAAATATATTCTCAGGGTTTAAAAAACGTTTTCGACATGACTGAAAAAGATAAATCACAGTATTTAATAATATGTAACCTATTTAGGTTTTTATTTATATACAGGTAAAATAAGGTAAAATTATTTTTAAATTATTATTACTTTTTTATGTCACTGAAAACACATTAAGTTGTTTCTGAACATTTTTCTCATTAAAATCGTTATAGATGCGATAAAATATTCTGCAAAATAATTCATCCTCCAAATTCATATCCGCGTTAAATTATAATCATGTCAGAACAGCAATCGAATTAATAAATGTCATCTTAGAAACAACGTTTATAAGTAATTTGGGATTAATTATTCATCACATTACTCTGTGGTGAAGAGAATATCCATTTTTGTTTCATTTTGACAAAAGCATATATATGTAGAATAATTAATTTATTTCTGAAATGTAATGACATAGCCTACAGCAAAAGTCAAGCTGTTAATGACAGGCATTTCGAGCACAGAATACGTAAAACTGAAGTTAAAATAGCTAAGAGTAATTTAATTGTAATGAGTTAAATGTACTCACATTTTTAATCTTTTTTGTGGATTTCAAATGCTTACTCGCATTCTAATATTGAAGATTTACAAAAATCCTAAAACATATGCACTATCACTATACTTACATGTAACCAGTTACAATACTAAAACAATTATTGTAGAGGCAAACTTATTTTCAAAAAGTGGTTAATACCCAAAATTCTGTACTAAGTTTTTATAGGAATCCGAAACGGATAACCACATAACAAATTTTCAATTGCCATAAAACAAAAACTCATTTAAATACACATCAGACATCACATCACATCATTAGACTGTAATTATTTTTCATTAACTGCTGAGCAAAGGTCTCTTTCCACACGGAGAATATATTTGAGCATTAATCACCACGCTTGCTCAGGGCGGACTGCCGATTCCAAACTTACAAATAATTAGAGATTATAAGTCCAGGTTTCCTCAAGATGTTTTACTTCACCATGTCCGAGGTGTCTAAATAATTATAAACAGTGCATATAACTCGAAAAAAGTCACATTGGTACTTGCCAGGTTTCGAACCCTGACATATATGAATACACATTTAAATACATAAAAACAAAATTGTAATTGTACACAAGATCGTAAAAGAAAGGAGATGACTATATATTGTAATTGTCAAACAGGATATGAAAAAGCTGTCTAGTTTATAAATATTACGAATGTAGAAACGAGCAAAGGATTCTATTTCTTTGTAATACAATTATAGTTTCTTTTTCTTTCATGTCTTTGTAGTAAAAAATACAATTATTTTCTTAACAAAAAATTGAAATTACGTTGTAACAAAGGCTTCAAAGACAATTGGTCATTGATTACAATCGTTTATTTATACTTTTTTGATATAGTTTTTTCCCTAGCTGAATAAAAATGTGTTTTTATCTAGATTAGCAACATAAAAATTACGAAAAGCTATTCTTTACTACTCAAAACACATTGTTTTTTTAATCTTATGAAAGCCTTTGCTTTATGTATAATAATAATATGTATGTAGGTAAATGCTTCTGTCTATTTATTAGTCGTTTTCATGTGAACTAATTTCAAATAAACCAATGAGTCTATTACTAAAGTCCCAATAACAATGCAAGACTCAATCGAACAAGAATTCGGCAAGCGCTCTGAACTTCAAAAAAAAATTCAAAGTAATTCACGTTCATTACAGCGTGTACTTGAAACAACGTCTGACTGCAAAATATTTCAAACAATTGTTTAACTGGAGCAACAGCTAACAGTAAAGCAATTAAGATGCCTTGTGTTTGGTGTGAACGTTTCTGTTCATACATTCGCTAGTGTAGTGAAAACCGTCGCCTCATCACGGGTGTGACACGAACTGTACATTTTTATAGAACGATCGTGTCGCCGCATCGAAAAAATTCACTATGCACTCCGCTCACGAATTTTAGAGACAGTATTTATACATAGAATTAATAACAGACGCGTGTCATGGCCAGGGTTAGATGCTCGTTATTAAACATGGAATAAAGTTTATAAATAAATTGATTCATAAGTTTTGGTTAATAAATGGAGTTCACTTTGAAATTGAAATGTTGTTAAAATAGCCGTATCATAATAATAAGCGTTATATTAATAACAAACGCATACACCACAAATCGCTTAACTTAAAACCTGGTCATAACTTACATAGTACTAGCAGTTCAGTATATAATTAATTCAAAGGACTCCTTACAAGTTCTATGAAGGATCCGTCCTTGGTTGCACCATACGTGCCCTGTAATTTCCGGCTTGCAAGTGCAAAGCAAAGGGACTAATTAATTGTTGTACGCACGAAACCTTGGCTGATAAATTTATAGTTATACATACATTTATCTACAGCTTCCCAGTCCAGTATGATATACTAGCTTTTATTTTCAACCCACAATGAGTTTCGTATGTTTGTTCTTAAAAATTCAAAATTCGAAATTATTCTAGAAGCTTACGCGTAATGTAAGAATAGATTTTTATTTTACGAATTGTAAAATAAAGATGGATATGGCTACCGACTTATCGTCGCATGTTATTAAATTGTTAGACTTCATGCAATCACAGATAAATGCAAATACAAATTGGATGAAAATAATGCCAATTTTATGTTTGTAGAATGAACTTTGTACGCGTTTTTATAACCTGTACACATATAACATATGTCTAGCACTGGCTTAATAAGTGACTAAAGAATTTATATTACAACACAGAAATATACATTCTGATATAATTGTATGATTATCACTCGGAAGAAAATTAATTGGAGTTAAAAAAACATATTTTTTATGGAAAAAATCGGCAAACGAATAAACGAACCACTTATTATAAGCAATCAGCGCCGTCCATGGGCGCCCAAAACATCAGAGGAGTTACAAATATATTGCCGGTCTTTTGGAGATTGTTAGGAATTTGAGAATTGGAGACAAAGGGAGAGTGGATTAGGCCTCCAAAAACCTCACTCACAATGCGAAAAAACGCAAATGTGGTTTCTGGCAGGCCGTGGTATCACTCCGGTCGAGCCAGGCCATCTGA